ACAACTCACGATTATTAAATCAAATACTGCTTAGAGAAAACTCAACAGTGGTGTAATATCATCGGTTCGACCTATATAATCAGCTGTTTGTTTTTATTACCTTGCCTTTGTCAGTTTTTGTCTACAGAGTGATGGACAATAGGTTTTGGTATAGTGACACCCTCACTTCTATCGTCAATAATTCATGACAGTTCTGGTGGGTGGACGTCCTTCGATCAAAAGGCACTCCCTCTTTGGCGATGTCCGTTCCTCCCACTACCATTCATTCACCTTGATCTACTTAGAAGTCAAAACTAATTACTAACATCGAGTGATATATTAAGCCAACTATTACTTGTGTCGTTTTACAACTCCATAAGAGATTCATCCATTCGTCCTTTTTTTTTTATGTCGCTACTAAAGTACTCTCCAGCTTGATAGTCTTACAATCCACTTTATTTTTTAATAAGAAGGTTCCTGACCTAATCTTCAAGTTCGTCTCTATGTCTAGCCTATATTAATTAATTTTAATGAGGAACTTGGCTGTTTACTTCTTCGCCGGAAGTATTTAATAAGACTCTAATGTTACTCTATAACGTAGCGCTCTGTTAAAATATAAACAGAATTCTTAACATCCTTCCCTTAAATAAACTCTAGGAAAAATGCTCTAACCGTACTTTCCTACGTTAGAAGAAGAGGTATATAAAATAATTTAACATTAAACAATCGTTTAAATAAGTTAAGTATCTATTTATAATCCAAAAACTTATCAATATATGATTTAGATACTTAATCATCCTACGGGCTGAATTAAATTCAGGTAACCTAAAAAGACGAATAAAAAAGCATTAAGCGTGCATATTTACATAATAGTTTTGTATTTTGACTATTATTTTATTCTTTTTTTTGTAAGCTTTAACAGTCATTTGTCATCTTTTAACTTAGATTAATGTCCGGAGGCGAAGGAAAAAAATCCCTCAACAGTCGAGAAAAGTCAACAGTCAACTCCACCCAAAGATCTCCAATGGCCTTGAAAGGAGGGAGGAGTTCCAAAAAATTGAGAAATCGGAAAAAGGTCCAGCCAGATCAAATGAAGCGAGAAATTTTGGGAGGGAAACACGTCAGGTGATAATCTTAGTTTGTTTAACAAATATCAAAACCCACCGCTGACAGCAACGAGGATCTCGTTATGCTAAGATGCCAAAATTTTCAATTCCTACACATTTTATTGTATTAAAAACGCCCTTAAATGACCCTCAAAACATTCTCTTTCGATGCTAAATATTTATTAAAGATAATTTCCTATCTTCAACATTGAAAGGTAATGTAAAAGAGCTGAAGGCATTCGAACTAGAAATGAGCTTATCGAGTTATTAAGGGTATTCACACCAAGATGTTATCGTTATTGTTATCGCTTTCACGTCTATCGTAATTTACTTCTGCTATTCAGAACAACTAGACGTATAGATACGTGAAAGCGATGCTAGTCGAGTAAACTGACGTAAATAGCATTTAAAAAATTGCCTATAATACACTACTATTTCGGAAAACACAATCGAACTTCACCGTTGAAACGAAGACAAAAGCCATTTTTAAAGTATGACGTTTAAATTTTAACCGTCCTTAGAGACATTTATATTCAAAATAATCTTCTCACGGCCCAGAGATTGTTAAATGTCCTAAATTTGCACAAGTTTTATACGAGAAATTTACATAAAAATAATCATTTAAGAATGGCATCGAATGCCCCGAGTGTTAAGTTCATCCGGTACGAAGACCTTTACGAAATTTATTTCCCAAAAGCCCATTTTGTCGAGTTCCTGCCTGTAAAACGTATATTTGCATAATGCCATTTAACAGACTAATTAAATCTGGCAAGAAAATGGCTATTGAAAAGCCTTAAATTAATGAACTTAAGTCAGGTTCGACCCTCCAATTTAATTTAGGGTTAATAGTAGTTCTATTGTTTAATTACACTTTGTTCATCAATTAGTAAGAAAAATGAAAAACCCACCCAAAAAAATCGAAATATTTTTTGGGTGTATTGTCATTAACGACGTTAAGGATCAACTTTCATACATTTTCACAATAGAAATAATTCTGCATTAATGAGAAGACGATGGAGAGAGAGAGAGAGAGAGAGAAAAAAAAATCACTAAAAGGTTATTTATAAACATGTTTATATGCACATACCGCGAAGAATTTGTAGTAATTAAGAATTTAATAGGGAGTCAAAGACTCAATCCAATTTGGGACGTGAACTGTAAGAGGGGTGGATGAACTTATAATAAAACTTTTATTTAGGTGTAGATAAACGTTTAGAAAGATACAACAGAGTATTTATTAATTTACGCAAACTTAAATGGCTTTTATAATCTACACAAATGTTACGATAAGCGACAATAACTTCAGAACAAAACTAAATCGCGTGTTGGCATTAGTTTTAAATTACAATATACAATTTAATGAGCTAAAATCGGTGGCATCTTTAACAAAATTTAATTATAAAAAAATAATAAATTTCGTCTATAAAACTGGGATTTTTTTTTTTTGTTATAATCAAACTGTATATTTATCAGATTTAAAATTTAAATAGATCATCAGTAAAACTTAACGAGCGAGTCGTAAAATGTTTAATTAAACTAGACTTAGAAAAGCGAAAATTTCCGATTGAATTATTAAAGGCGAACAAAAAAATAGTTAAAAATTTGAATTTATATCATATTTTTTAAACTTGTCCCATTGGAAATTCAATATTGCTTATAATATTTACAAAAATTTCTCATTAAATCAAAACACTTGACCGAAACAATCTATAACAATTAAAACTATGGACTCGGCATCTTTAAATTTAATAATTTGCAACTTTACAAGCAATTCATGTACGTAAAGGATCTGATCTTTTATAAAATCCTTAAAAAAAAATAAAGCGGATTTAATTAAATTTCCAAAACAAAGCGCCTTATAAAGAACTTCTGCACAATGAAACTGAACAATCCGCAGTAAAATCCTCATTGCAACATTCATAAATCACAATAATCCTTATTAATCCATCCTTAAAACCATGCCAAAACACACTAAAACACTTTGAAAAACCACTAACTCGACTATGTTAAAACCCGATAATCCTTTATAATCCCTGACAAAATATACGGTGTAATAAAAATTAAAATTAACAACGGTGCAAATAATATAAAGTGACGTCACGAGTGGTAAGTTTTATTAGTCGAACACGAAGATCGAGTTATATCAGATAACGTTCTTCGTGATGGTGTAATGCGCGGAGAACAATCCAGGTCAAAAACACGAGCACACGAGGGCAAGTTCAATATCGAGACAAAATTAATTAATTAATTATGCAGGATGTGGAAAGAAATAATAATTAAATAAATAAATAAATAACGGACTCCTTACGTCTTACTATGAAGAGAAATTTGAATATTTTAAAACTACAACAATACCAGGAAGAATGGACACTTATGATATAAAATGTGCTTTAGGTTAAGTGAGTCGTGCCCTTCCGTCTAAACAGAAAAAAAAAACACATCTGAATAGACTACGTGAGGTGCAGGTACTATCGTAAGGTTAATGTTAACAATACCAGGTTCTGGACCTTAGTCATCTTTCCCATACTCTCTTCCTTCCCCGACTCGACATCTTTTGCATTCAAACTCGAATAATTCAATTTGTAATCGAGATTTACTCTAGTAAAAAATGATACCCGTACTAATTTACATTAAATTACATACAACTCGTTCGTAAAAATATGTTTAACAAAGTTCTATTGCCGTTAAAAATGGATTACTATTAACCAATTGTTTACATTAAATATAATTGAAAAATGATTCATAGTCGTGTCACGAGATGGCGTGACATGTCAGCTTATATAATTATAGTACAGTACTGTATATACTCTTAATATTTATCCTTCAGTACTAAGTTTATTCTGATTTTTTTTATTTTAATTGTTTGAATATTTCGTTTGTTTTTAAATAAAACGTATTAATTTTTAATTATCTAATTAAATAAAATCATTAATTAAATTTCAATAAATCAACGCGACAAAATGGCGGACATATGAGACATAAATGAACTTACCGTTTTAATTCGTACTGTATTATAAAATTCTTGCATTTGAACGTTAGATGACGTTTGTAAACGTAACATATCGTTCTCAACAAACGACTCCATAGGGTTTTAACACAAATATGCAGCAGGATGTCAAAAGTTACAGTATTTTATCAACGAGCTTTTTAGATAATAACTCGAGAGTAGGACTAAAAGGCTCGATTGTAAACCAGATTCTGAACTGTTTTATTATCTCGAATAGCTAGATTCCACCCAAATGAGAGCGCTAAGTTTAAAAGAGCCACGTTTTGACCCCAAGGTGGACCAGACCCAGACCAGTAAGGCACTCGGGTAGGTCAGGATAGTCGGTTAGTCAGTCCATCCGAAGGGCTACACAGATTGGGTGTAATTATCTACCAGAGACACATGCGATATCGTTGCTGCAGGCTATTTACATCGCAAACAGCTGTAGAATACGGTCGCCATATACAATCGGAATCTACGATGCGACGGAAGAGGTGCGATATGAAAGAGAGCGCGTACGAAAAAAAAAAGCTATTTTAATATATTACACCCCGATTTACCGATGTTGAAATTGTACAGAATGTTATCTATAGATGGAGCCACATTTATTCCCCCCTCCACGTTTCTTTTCTGTAGTTAAACAGATGTATTGCATGAGTCACCACAATTGAAGCTGAGCAAACAGCTCCAGAAAAAACAAAAATTCTATATATTTTATTAAAGAATTAATAGAATTTTTAAAAATAATCATAAAAATATATTTCTAATCTATTTTAAGTTGGTATATTTAGTTGAATTAAAAAATAATTAATTGAATTTTTTACACGAAAAAAAAATAGCCGAAAATCCGTTACTAAAACAAGATTCTTTAGGAAATTGGAATATAAAAAGAATTGCTAATTATCGCTAAAACAAAGAGAGGAACTTACTTTGGACTTCAATTCATTAAGTAGAAGAGAAACGGGTTGCAAGAACCTTTGACAGAATTTCCAATAATCTCCTTGATATCGACATAACAATACTTCTCTAGCTTGCCTCACTAATTGGATCTTGACGTCTTCGAATGGTTCGTAAAGAGAACCAATGGCGGATTCTGTACGGATGGCTACTTCGCTAGGTCTCTGAAAGCATACGACTCCATTAATATTAATTACACGTAGATAATTACGAGAGTTAGTTAAGGAAATATCACTAGAGAACATCGATTGTTAATAAGTAGAAATAAATTAAGCTAAAGATAGTCAACTTTCCTTAAACTTCTTCTTACCTGTTCTAAGTTACTTCTAAGAATAACTGTTAAATATTATCACTATTTTATAATATTTTTCTTCTATTTATAACTCGGCTATTGTAATGCATACCGATTAATGGAAAGATGATCTACGAGAACATGAGAAACAAATTGGAAAAATAATTTCTCAGTACAATAGACTAACGAAAGATAATTAACAAAGATTTTATTCGTTTTTCTACGAATGCAATGAAAAATATTTGATGAGATAATATAATTTTTGTTGTCAAATATTTCAGGATAAACGCATAGTGAAAGGAAGAAAAAGTTGTTCAGAGGTTAATATACATTATGTAGGCTATATGTCGCTCTATTTACTATCTTAACTTTTCGAATATTTTCTATTTCCGTTATACAAAATATGATACAGGTCGTCCTTGACTGTAATGAATGAAAAACACTCTGTTATCTTTTATCTCCTACAAATTAGCAACAATGGCGTAATTACGCCACGAGTAGCAGTACAATAATAAACATATCGTGCAATTAAACGACACAAACGTATAGAAGAAACGTTATAGATTATATTTTAAAAAAATATTAATTCCTGTTTAGAACTTTCTACTATTAAATTAGGTCTAAAAAGATTCCTTCTGGCAATCAATTCCTGTTAACTTTTCCTTTATGAAATTTTCCTGTTACAGTCGAACTTGCAATAACGGTCACCTCTAAACGGCGGCCATTTTTTCCGTATTTCTTTATGAAATGTATACAAAACAACCTCCAAACAACGGCCATTACTATTTTGATATAAATTGACTAATTTAATTATAAAAAGAAACTAATTTACATAATTTAAATTTAGAATATTGTAGATACAATACTGAATTTCCTAAGATTTCACTTATTCCAATCTCCGTTTATTATCTTGTTATATTCAAATCTTATAGAAAGTTTAGAAATTATTGAATATTTCATCAATAAAATTTAAATAAATTATAGAAATAACACGATTCTAACGTCTTTTTTAAGACTGTAGAAAATTAAGTAGAACCATTAAGTTTAGAGCTTTGTTTAACAACAAAATTAATCGAGTAGATTATCATTCATTTAATGTCCTTATTTAAAAATAAAGATTATCAATTCAATTAGTATTCTTAATTTAAGATAAATGATCCTTATCTAAATTAAATCAACAATTTTCTTCTAAATTTACCTTTCCAACCTTGTACAAATCGAATTGTGAAGTATGCGTGCCTCATTAAATACGAGTTATCTCCGATTGTACAATAAGGTTTCTCAATTTATATATTTGTTAAAATTAAATTATTAACTTTCTCACTTTCGTACCAAAAGCAACAATGTAAGTGAAGATCCAATGTTAGAATCTTCGGGGCCTTCGTCACTTGCAATTGGTAAAGTGTAAAATTTGATTGAAAACTATGAAGGAAATATAGTATTTACGTATATAGGAGGTCTGTCACTTCGATTTTCTTCGCTACAAACGACCTTGTGCATGTGGTTTAGACCAACTAAAATTAGACTCGGCCTTGACAGAATGGGAGGCCAAGGTCGATGCCCGGCTTAGTCACTACAATACATTACAAACCGTAATTCTCTATCATTTGAAATCATTACAGAAGATTTTCTTGTCTACCACTTTCCTCCTTTCATTTGGGAATGCACGATTCTATATCGGTCTAATAATGTAAATATAAGATGGAATTATGTTAAATCTATTGGAGTTATATAATTACAGAATGTATTAATTATGTACAGTTCAGTAATTTCCAATGGAATTTATTGTACCGAAACTCGTTCGAGAAATACTCTTGTAAAATTAACAATATAATCAAGGTAAGTATGCAACTTGTGGAATTTTTCTAAGTTATTCTATCTCATGATATGCTTTTCAGATTAAGTACAGGCATCAGAGTGTAGAATATCATTATAATATAAGGACAGAAAAGCCGACAGCTGTTAGATGGGTTCATAGGTCGACATTCATCTCCTTTAAGCTGGAATTTGTTGTTGTTAAACTTGAAAGCGGGTGCATTGCAACTGTAATATTTTGGTCCGAAAATTAAGATACTTAACCGGATATATAAGTCAATATTTAAATAAGTAATTTGTCTTTTACAAAAATGAATGATTCTGCAAAAATCACAAGCGTGAAATGAAATTTTCGCTTCGAAAAACGACTTTCTGCTCAACTTGCACTTCAATTTTATTTTATAATTGAACGAATTTAATTGTAATCTTTTCTTTCGGTTAGTATATAACTTGCGTGTATTTTTTTTCAAGCTGATAAATGCTCGGAACCCGTTATACATTGTTTATAGTATCCGTCACGCATTACAGGACAGGTGCACCCTGCCACGAATAGCAAAAACCATTGTATGCAAATACATCTAAAGTATGCATAAAGCGATCCCTGCAGCCAAAAAAAAATATAATAATAATAAATAAAAAAGAATGTCAGTGTGTGCGGTCATTTATACGTATGCCACCTGCCTTATAAGAATGCAGGTGTAGATTTGCAGTGACGTCAAACAAATCGATACCTTCTACAAAAATTCAAATTCCAGCACGTGATTTGCGACGATCAGTTAATATCCATTCAACACATTAATTCTTCATCAATTAGTCGCTGCATCAGATGATAAACTGCAATGAATCATGCACAGATGGAGAGGGATGTACGTTGCGTGACGGGTTCCTCGCAGTATAAATTTTGACAGGAAATTACGTCATACGGTGTGGCATGGGAGATTTAAATCATGTGTAGTTCCTGGCCTCGAACGGAATTTAAAAAAAAAAGAGCGAAAAAGTAGTCTTTTAGAACATAAACAAGTAGTTTTTCAGAACCGGTAATGACGAAATTTAAATCTGCACTGGAAGCAATGCTCTTTTTTTTTTGATAATGGAAATTAACGTCTTCCGTTATAACAGCTGCAGTGGACCAAAAATCAATTTCCTTTCTGGTATGCTAATCGATAATGGTTAAATGTAGCGCATTAGCGTAAAATTCATTAAAATCAACAAAGATTAAGAATTTTAAAAGATTTTATTAATTATCTTAATTTCTTTTTTTTTATAAACGATCATTTTACGAAAAATAAATATAGTATGAAGTTCACCAAGTATCACATTTTAACTGAAGAATTTTCAAGTACCCTATAAAAATTTTCTTCTTTTATTTATATAAATCATTCAGTAATAATTTTTTCATAATTAAAATATTAGAAAATAAAAGAGAAAATTTATTTAAATTCAAAAATAAATGGGAATTTCCCACAATACAAAGAAATGTACGCATTCTTCTCCCACATCACGTAAAGGATCTGTCATATAAATACACAGAATGAATTTTAATTAACGTCTTTTCACTTTTACACCCACAAAATATATTTCAAAATTCAACTTATCAGAATTTTAAATTTCCGTTACACAACATTAATGAATTTATGATTAAATATGTAAGTCAACTGGTAAATAATTATAGAGAAAAACGGTCATTATGGGGGACATCACCTAAAGATAGCGACTCACCTCTGTTAATTTCCACAGATGAATGGCACTCCTGCTAGAAGATAACCTTGAGGCTTTCAGCAATTTAGATTTCACTGTTCCATCATTGGTATCGAAGCTCCTGAGAGAAGGAGAAGATACATTCCGACGAATGAAGGAATGAGATCGAGTCAGATTTGAGCCTGCAGCTGGTTGTGGACAGGTTTCTGGAGAGGAATTATTTCGACGGATGCGAGATTGATTGGGTTTTTCGCCATCGAACGACGTCGGGGGCCAAAAATCCTCAGCGGTGCTACATTTGGAAAAATCTTGGCTAGAGGGTCTCGTTTCCTTTATATCGAGGGTCCCATCCGGTATCGTGTCTTCCTCCATTATCTGAAAGATAAATAAAGAGGTCGAGTTAGATATCTCACAATTATGGTCAAAGATAACCCTCTCGAGAGAGTTTAATGCCCTCAAAGGTTAAACGGGATAGGAATTTCGGGCTCCTTATTTTCAACCTTCCCCTCTTCGATAGTTCCCTAAATTTGCTGGAGATATATGAAGAAAACCGTTTATCAACTTCCAGCCGTCATCCTTCAAGCTCACAACATCACAATTTATGTGGAAGGTTAGTTTAAGGTGACGAAAACAATATTAAAACTGAACACCGAAAATCCTAGTACAATTTTTAACAGATAATTGTAAAAATTATCATGTCGTTAACTTTATTTGCATAAGGTTTGGCTGGAGAAAAACACATTGCAAAATATTTAATTTAAAAAAGAATTATAAGATGTTTAACTTTATAAGTCTATCCAAATTTAGATTACATTCAACACTATTCCTAGAACAAATTTGTCATCCGAACATTAACCTGTCACAATTTGCATTTAAGCTGTCATATCATGGCTGTAATTGCTTAACTGACACTATAATAATATAACCACAGTGGTTATTACGTAAATGGAAAATTTGACTTGGAAAATCATCTATATATTACTTTATATACACAAGATGAAGTAGATACGCTTCTTACATCATATTACAGTGTAAAGTAGCAGACGTTTTCCACAATCCAACCAAAAGTAGGTCATTGCCGTGTGTCTAGCAGTTATGGCTCTCGTCCAACGATTACTTCCGCTACAATCTTTTCAACTATCCCCATTCAATATGTATACGTTGATTTCTAAGAACTATCAAGATAATTTACTATTAAATTTACTCTAATATAGCAAATTATAGATCATTCTTTAGGTTATCTTACTACAGAAATCTAGTATAAGTTACATGTTCTTTTGAAAAGTTGTTTGGGAGATTTTCTAAAGATTAAACTTATTTAATATTCTTAATTTTATTGTAACATATAAAAGAAATGTAACTTTATGTAATAACTTAATACGATTATGATATTTTAAAGTTAATATGAAATAATTTTAATATGCAGACAGACATTGAGGTGTGCCACAAAGGAAAGCTCAATGGGCGATGTCGCATTTCCTTTTTTATTTATTATTATTTTTTGTGTAGGGGCCAAGTTTAGGTGTGCCACCTTAAAAATTCCGCCATAGTAATTATAAAATATTACTCTATCAAAACGTAAGAAACTAACCTTTTTTTTCCTCTCTCTCTCTCTCTCTTTATGTAATTTCCTAATATGAAAGAGGAAATACGAATTTTAATTTATTTTTAAAACAATAACTATCAAAACGTAAGAAACTAACCTTTTTTTTCCTCTCTCTCTCTCTCTTTATGTAATTTCCTAATATGAAAGAGGAAATACGAATTTTAATTTATTTTTAAAACAATAATTGGCACATATATATATACGCACATTTGAGCAATTATCAAAATTTCAACTAGTCGTGAATTATTCGCGGTTGAAGTAGAGCAGAACGCAACCATTTCCACCTAACTGGGAACAAAAAGTCCATTATGTTAGCAACACACGTATACTAACATGGCGTTACACCTACTACACTACATAAACAGAAAAGTTAATGGAAAAACCATAATTTTCCCATTAACTCTCGGCGTTTAACCTATAATTATTCGATAATTTACACTTCCTAGTAAAGTAGAACGGGTTAGAAAATTAAGATTATCCGTGTAAACGATGAAAAATCTATGCAATGTGAACGATTAATTTGTGTTGTATTTTTAACGGGATCTATAAACTCGTCATAGACAGTGACCTCTTCTCAAGGCCACTCAACTTCCATTCAGCACTCTCTCTCCTCTTGCAGGTGTGGGGATGAGTCATAATAGAGTTGTGTGTAAGAAATTCCACAGTCACAACTTTTATAGTAATTTGATATAAAGGTTATTCACCTTCTATACGAACAATAGTATTCGTGTTTTTATCGAATTCCCACAATTATAATAATAATAATAATGTAAATATATTCGTTTAAAAAAAAATTCATTTATTCTACATTTTATTACTTCTATACTTTTGTTGTTTAGTTTACATTCTGAATTTAAATATATGTACGCGACATGATAGGTTATTGTGGTGGTGTCATTACTTCCAGCCAGATAAGTACCTGTTGAGTAGAGTCATGTAAGTTGAATCTGTTTTTTCCTCCCTCTTTCATAAAAAAAAAATTCTGATTAAAGCTCAAATCTCTGCATGTTCGTAAGCAATAAACCTTAGATAATTAAGAAAAAGCACTGCTTAATCTCCTAGCTATAACTGTTTATCTTAATTAGAGGAGTAATTTCGTTTAATTAAAAAAAAAAAAAAATGTTATATCTCTTCATCTAGAGCAACATTTATCATCTTTAATAATGAACGTTGAATTAAGAGATTAGTAATTTCACCACAATAAATGATGATAGCATCTCTGTAAGATCTTCCAGCGACAATCATGGCAAACGATAGCATCCCAGCGCGATCTTCTGCACCTGGTCTGTCGAGATGATAAGGAATGCAACAGCTGTGCCTACAATATGTCATGACTCATATTTCCGGCCTATTTTCACTAGCTTGACTAGACAGCAGGTGACCGAATTATGGACATGTTTCTAAAATACACTTTCTCCTTTAAATGTCTTTAACAATGAGTACGTTCTGTTTGTTATTACGAGCCTCATCTTTTAACTAACAACTTAAAAGAGATCTCGTTAACTGCAACCTAACCTTAATGGTGTGTGGCATAACACATTCGCATTATATAATCAAAAATGGACGGATGTTATCGTGTGTACACAATCTTAGGAACTACATTTTAAATTATTCGAATATATATATTTGAATAATTTATTATTTTAAATTAAATTTAAAATGTTATGTATATAAAGATGAATTTAAAAAAATTGAGTTGTATATAAAAATAAATTGCTTAAAAGTATAAGTTGTATAATGGCTCATGTAAAAAGTTCATTCATTAAATTTGAAAAAATATTTTTAAAAAATTACAAAAGAATGTATTCATAGTAAAGTTTACAATGAATGGATTTTTGTATGTATTCTTTTTATAAAAGTCTTGCTTTTTAAAAAAAAAAAAAAGAAAAAGTGGATCGTGAATGCAGGATCTCAGCTCGACTGCACTTCGACTACATGCTACAAAAATTGATATTCAAAGCACATTCCAAACTGGAAATTCGATTCTTTCACTATTAAAGCAATATAATCCGATTGGACAGAACAAGTAAAATTGCAAATTCCAAGGTAAACTTTAAAAGGAAGTTCCGGTTTTCATCGTCGTAACCACCAATTTGATGGAATGTGACTCGCGCGACACTAATTATAACATCAAAGCTTAAAAGTGAACTTGGGCCGGACTAATGCACTTAGATGTAATCTAAGATCCGGTCGTAATTAATATAGTGTGTACTTTAAAGAGAGTTAAATACGAAATTTCCATCGATTTTATTCGTAATTTAAATTCTAGATAGTGCTTAAGGTGGCAAAGAGCATGAATAGCCGATTAAGTGTGATTCAGATGAGGGAGTGACGACGGTTGAAACCATCTAAAACTAGTTATTACATCATCAAGGGGAAGTTTTCTAAGTTGAAAACGATCTATACGTAATCAATATACGTATTAAAATACATTACTTCGAACATTACAATATAATAAAGAATCTGTGTTTGATTCTATAATATAATCCAGGCCACGATCTACAGGGATGATAGGTTTACTTCTAGATAATAATAGAAAAACGATACGATTTTATATGGGTGTACTTTCACACCCATTTGTTATACTCACTCACACATAAGATATGGCAAGCTATTTTAATAACATCCGGATTGAATTCTCTTATTTATAAAGAAGAAAGTAATTACGGTTCCGATAAACCGTAATGTTAAATTGTTTATAACTAAAAATAGAACAAAGTAAATTAAGTTTTAGAAAGTAAATGCTATAGTTGAATGTCTTCAAAACTTTATGGGGAAGTTCGTGAAATGTTCCTGTTTTGTCGGTTAATTGGCGCGACGGAGGAAGACAATAGATATTCCATAAACAAACACTGTGCACAGGAAATGACTCATCTACTTTTCCTTTAACCACTCGAGTGGCATCACTACTTTCATCTACAGGGGAAGAGGGAAAAGAAAAAAGGAAAAAAAAGATAGGGAGAACAAGGCTGAAGGTATACAGTGTATAGAGCAAAACATACAAACTTCCCACTTAGATTCGTCGTATTTCATTACAAATAAATATTTTCAGGTGCAAATTTCACGCAGATGCACGCACATTTCTCTTAGAAAGCTTAAAACCAGATGGGAATCTAAGCTGATTAGTAAACAAATATATATTTTTGTCAATCTGACCAACCAACAGGTTCTATATTTTTATTTCTTAACACGTACATACAAAAGGTTGGAGAGCGCTTTAGTGTAAGTAAACACCACCCTCGGGAGGAGGGTAGGAAGAAGTTCCACACGGACCGGTCTTTGGTACGCGAGGTGCTTTATCCTGCAGGCAATCCTAGAGAAATGGGCCTCCGAAATAGTTCAAACCAACGTTTGTATCTCCATTTCTCCAGATGAGGATAAAGATTTATATCTTCCTCATCCCATATATATAGTCACAGTTTGTTACAAAAGCCGAATACTTTGTAACACTTCAGTTAACTTCACACGCAAACTACTTCGATTTATATTAATTATTTGTAGAAACCGTCCCAGTCACTTGATTTTGTTTGTTAACTAATTTATAAAAAAAACTTCAAAGATTTGTAAAATTAAATAGGAGAAGACAAATCAATGATCGGCACAACTAGAGCACACACAGTAAATGGACTACATCAGCTTTTTTCAGCAATAAAAACAAAAAAAACAATGTAATTGTTCAACCGTATTTCCTCGAAATAGAAAGTTAGAGAAATGCAATATGAGAAGAAATCTTCTAGTTAGTCGCTGTTAGAAAAGTTTAGGTCATTGTCCCTAGTTTCCATTCTGATGGCAACTCAGAAGAGAAGCAGAAATTCAATGCCTCTATGAAACTGCACACACAGAATATCAATTCTATTCGCTCTCTGAACTTGATATTCTACATTACACTAAAAATCGTTTTTATATTATATAAGGACCAATAGAATTTCTTTAAAGATCTCATTCAGTTAAGTGTAACAAGTTTCTATCGAAAATTCCATCACATTTATTTATTATTGAGTTTATTAGTTTGGATAATAACTAACATAAATAAAGATTACTTGACCTCTATCACACTTTTGATAGTTAATTTATTGTATAATTTAATGCGGATTGAAGTCAAACTTCGTGGGTACTTTTATGAGAAAAGTCACAAAATTTTGCGAATTATTATGGAAATTCTTTAACTTAAAAGTATAAAATATAATACATTTTTTTGGTTAAAAGTACAGCTTTGAAAGATTCCATGAAAACAAAATAATTATGCTAATTTTATGGGTCTACTATTCATCATCTAAGACCTACTTATGTAAATTCCTGTTCTGAGAATCATTTTTAATAAACTAAAAACTTAATTATACTATATAAAAAGTTATATAATGAATATAAATTTCAGTAATATCATATATAAACATTTCATCATATAATCACTTAAAATTGCATAATGCATTTCATTGGAATATTGCATCTTGCAGTGTTAACGAACGAAATTTCCGGCTTGTTATACTTACATCTAATTTCGAAGGAAAAAAAAATCGCTGAAAATCTGAACCAAATAATGGTTTGCACGTGTTACAGGAATCATCAGATATGGTTTTAAAGCGGTAAAGAAGAAAAGCAATGTAAAGATACTGAAGCATAGCGGTTTGCCTAGCTTAGGAGTGCTTATGACCATGGTGTATTGTTCACCGACCGAACTAAAATCAATCGATCTCTTACATCACAAGTGCCGCTGAAGAAACTAATGTTAACTGCCTTGAAAGCTAAAAGAAAGAACTAATAAAAGATAGCAAAATTGGACTAGACAACAATAGAAGAACGTAACGATTCCTTTCGAAAATTTCTTTTGATGTAGTCAAGTCTCATATTTTTTTTAATGATCTGTACTGTACTTCTGTATATTTTTTAATACATAGAATTTAAAAAAATCCACAAAAATCATAAAATATTCGATTTCCGTTATGTTTCCTGATTTTTAGATAGTAACGGTATATGGATTTGCTTTAGAGAGAATACCTCAGTTTCCAAGTCCAGTCTTAGTTTTTATTGCTGAAATAATTTCTTTTTTTAAAATTTATTTCAGATTTTTATGCTAAATATTGATTAATTTATAAAATATATACAAACTATTAAAGGAATTTAATAATTCCTATATAGAAGAATCAAAAAATATGACTATTTGAAGCAGTGGTTCTCAACCTCATTGAACTACTGGGGCGGGCGCAATTTTTGGCACCACATCGACAAGCCAGTGTAGCTTTAATATAAATACGTGAAAATGTACAATTTTTATATAAAAAGTGTACAAATTATATTAAAAAGTAGACAAAAGTTAACACAGTACTTCTAATAATTTTGTGGTAAATCTGTGGCACACCCATTAAGAACCACTGATTCATAGAGTAATAATTTATTCTATGCTTTACATTTGAACTTAATTCATTTTTGTTAACAATTATTCTTGTAAAATTCCCTATAAAATAATTAAATGATAAACATTAGTACTATTTTTTTAGATTCAAGCAACATGTTCTATGGATCTAAGAATAGTTTCCTGAGATAAATCCATAATCATAAAATGTTTTTACGAAAATAAAAACTATCTATGAACAGATAACATAAAAAACTAAAAATAAATTGAAATATTTGATTGAAGAACTTTGCCTGTGTATTGTACTATACATAAGTTGGTGTTTTAACGCACGATGTGTAATCAGGAATATCAAAATGTGCAGAGTTCAACCATTTGACCACAACACCTTTTTATATTTTGGAAAATCTCGTGTCCTGTTTCTTTTTAGATAGCAATCTCAGGCATTTACATACATTTGATGCCGCTAAATCTACACTTCTGTCGTGTAAACCTGTTTAAAACATAATTTGAGAAGAGCAAAACTCCAAATCTCACGGAACTTCATGAGGAGCATCTTTGCACCAAACGAAGATGGTAAAAATCTTCAAAACAAAGATAATATTTTTGGAAGAAACGATGCGTGGGTGACTTTCTTGTTAAAAGAACAAAAGATGCCGGATTATATTACACAGATACATCAGATTTTCTTCCGTTTAGCCACTCCTAGAAGACTTTTATCAGACTTAAAAAGGTAAATAAGTGTATCTACGTGCTCGGTAACGTTTATTTCCTTAATTATAGTAAAGAGCACTCGTTTAACATTGCAAACCAGATTTCAGTAACCTCTTCTATATTTTCCTAATAGCATTTAATGTAGCTAAGTTGATAATAAGATATTAAAAAAAACTGTTTAATTAGAAAGAGCGGCAACTTGCGTGTAACGTAAAGAATTTCCAAGTATAGCAATTTATTGTTTTCCACATTTATAACGAGGTCAATAACAATATTTTCCACTCCAACCACTTAATAATCAAGTTGATTCAATTTGCAAGCAGAAAATTTCTCATTTTTAAATAATTAAATCTCTCATATTAAATTCTAAAGTACAATTTTCTCCGTAATTTTTTAATCTTTAATTTAAAATTTACTTAACCGAAACTAAAGTTGTTACTAATGTTCTGGCTAATCAAATTTGATCTTAGGAAAGTGATACAGTATTTAATTATATCTAAGCTGACTTTTAATACGTTGAGATTTACTTATCATTAGTTAAAGAGTTTATTGTGATTTTTGTACCAGAGATATTACAAAATCTGGAACAAGTTTGTAGAATAAACACATGGTACAGATTTAAACAATTTCAATTTTCTTTTAACCAGAACTTCATGCGGTTCGAAAAAAAATTTAAATTGAAGTGAACACATCTGTTTACCATAATAAACAGTGGAAGAAAAGAAACAATATAACAACTAGTTGCTAAATATATTTTACAACTGGTTTGAAATACTTTTAAAGTGAACAAGAACCACCATTTTGATCTAAATAAGAACATTTTCGGATCATTTTGAAAGTCTCGCTATATTAATAATTTATCAATAAAACGATTGTATGATATAATAATATAAACAAATGCTGGTATATGCAGCTTTTACGTCCGTAGATCACTTTTCAAATTTTGCCTCTCCAGCAAGAACGCTTAGCATTCTGGGAATAAAAGAAGAATCGGTAAACTTCGCACGTGTCGAGATCAAATACCCTTCTTCATTAATTTAATTCCATTTATAAAATTTAACTGATAATCTCTTCTAGGATTCTATTATCCCGCTTATACTGAAAAAAAGCGAAAGTTAACAAGGTGAAAATAATAGGAAAAAGCATCTAGTCGTTACTGGACACGCGGGTGGTGCAAGGTTAATCCACCATAGCAAGGTTAAGCGCCCTTTGGAGCTGTTGTCATTCAGGTAATGGGGCCAAGTACTTTATGAAATCGTAGCAAATATCCGAATTGTATACTCGACTAAACATACTTTTTAGTAGTTTACTTACCATTAATGGAAAATAGCTAAGTCCCAATTATGTAATGTTTTTGTTTATTGGCTACAGTTAGAGTAATCCAATGGTAAATCACAACACAAACTAAAAACAACCGACTGAACTAGACAGTAGGTAGTAGATTCTAACAAATTTTCTCGGGAACCAACGAGAGATGCCGGTTAGGCAAGTCCACTCTACAAGAGGGAGAACGACTGTGAGTTATAGACGAGCCGAACCGCTCCGTTGAGTCAGTTAATTACTGGATTTCGTTCTGGTATTACATCCATGCGAAGAAGTTTATCGGAACGGCTCGATCTTGGCTATAAATTCGAATTTAATACGAATTTCGTTTTTACTTCTTGTGTGTACAAAACGAGTTTGGCAATCCTTCCTGCAACTGGCGCACTCGTAGTTTTGATGCTTTTTGAAGCTTACTATCGATCGAGGACAGGTGGAATATGTCGGTTAGTCGGTAAAAGCTTCTTTTATATCGAAAATTTCGTCAGATAAATTGAATATCGAGTGATTTTTCTGTGTAAAACTCTTTCAACTCCCTCGCGCTATTGTTGGTCCCTGGAAGAAAAACCATCGATCGTCGTCCAATGGCCCCGATTTACAATTATAGTTCGGAGAACTGTGACCATCGATCACATTATCCAACTATATATTCTGATAGAAGACAATTCGGTTGGAGGGGTCGGAGATGATTTGAGGTTTTTCTTGCACTTAACACGTATGTGGTTGTGCTAGATGTTACGGGCTAAGTCTAGTGTAAAAATTTTTACGATATACTAAAACCTAAACGATTAAATATATAAATAAATTATTATTATTAGATCTAATTGTTGTATCAAGTTTGCTAGTTCAGCGTTTTTACCGGACTAATCAATACTAACGTAAAAATTAGGTCAAGAACACGTAATAGTTTGTACTGATTTATTTATAGAATATTACATAGTTGTTAATTAATTAATTACTTTAAAAATGTTCAAGTCGAAACGGAGGTTATTTACGTGTATAGGTGAGCCGTAGCGATGAATAGAGATCAGCACACAGGTGGTGGGAAGATGGGATCGTATTCTAGGAATGGCCTCCCCTATTTGCGGCACTTTCATTCTTCTCCTACCCCAAGGATACAACAATACCTTAGATGTGAGTCCTGGCACGTAGCACCTACATAGTTTACCAGTAATTGAGTATCAATTAAGTAGTTGGTATCGCCCCCAAAAAAGAAATTCCGAACGGGAACTACTACTACTACTATTATAATAAAAAATCGTAAACGCTAATGGAAAAGTATTAAAAATATCAAATGACGTAAATCTATCAAAAGTAAATTTCTCTTAGAGAAAAATCCATTAAGATTTGGAAAAGTAGACTGAGAAATTGGAGAGGGAGTAACACGACACTACCTTAACTATGGACCCATTTCGTTGGGTGAGTGATTGGTGGTCAAGGCAACACATTGCACACAATAACCGAAGTATAATTACTCCTGAATAGAATGGATATTGGATCTATAGTTGGCTATAGAAGTAATTCATTCTCCCATCAGTTATCGATAACTGTTTAAAGTAAACTTTGCTTAAAATAAACTTTGATGTACTGTACTGTAATGCCAACTCTAATTCTGTAGTTATATTATAATGAAATTCTATACTTATATCGGCATCTTATCGGTATTAATGTTAGAAAGAACAATGTTGTAACATGTATAATTTATCTATTTAACAAATTCTCGTTGCGAAATGTTATCAAATCTGTAATTTTATTATTATTTCCGCCTGTTTCAAAGTTCAGATTTAAGATTACTAATTAATCGATATTTATTAAATTTAATTTTTATATACAAAGATCGAATTTTTCTACAAAGTGCAAACTAATATTGCTTTAGAACAGTATCGAATATCTATAATTACACATTAAGATACTCGTGTGAAAATTACTAAGTGATTCATAAATCTCTTGTTTATATATCATTTGTAATAGTTTATATTATTATTTTATAAACAAATGATGACCCTCGGTTCGATTTTTAATTGTCACAACTGTTAACTGTCGCATGACAGCACGCGACGAGTACTCACCCCCGAAGATAAGGTTTATCTTTAGAGGACGATGACTTCTTCACGCAAAAAAAAAAAATAAGAAAAAAAATTATTTAAAACTATATAGAATCATCTAAAAATAAATTATAACAAATACTGTGATTAGAAGAATCAATTATAAAGTTTTAATCGAGGACAATTGCGATCTATTTGACAAGAGGAATAAAAAACACGATTGGGAAGAACAGGTGTTGTATGATGATTGAATAGCTGGAGTACTAAAGAAAAAAAATATATATATAATAATAAATTAGATTGAAAAATAAACACGGAACTGATTTAAAAAACAATGTTTAATGAATTACCTATATCAACAAACGCCTCCCCGATAAATTATAGCTTTTAACAGCCCCGAGTAATGTTATAAATGTTATCTATAATCACGGAATTTGTAATATCCGTATGAAAGAAATTTCGCAGTGACATTCAGACGTTTCCTATGTTTGCATCGATACAATGTTCTGTTTAATGTTAACGCTTTTACGCCCTCGACTCGTGAGAAAACAAACCATTACTCCAAGAGTAAAGGAATTTATATAGGATAATAATCTCCAAAATAGCGTAAAGCTAACTGGAATTATGCCTATTCCCTGTTTTAAGAGCGCAATCGTGATATGACTTATGATCAATGTACGATTATTATGTTTTAATCAGAGTTTTCCTTCTCCCATTAAGTCTAGAAACACAGGAGGGTGGTAGTAATTGTTAAAAGATAATGAAAGCGGCGGCATCATCCGTGCATAATTCCGTACGGTTTGAAGTACATTGCGTAAAATAATTAGCATTTTTTTTAGTAATGTGTCCTACTTTTAAAAAATACACTGGTTTAGGAAAATTTTTTTATTTTTTTTTTTGCTTTTGTTCCTTTTGCTAGCATGCATGAATATGTCTTAATTATGAAATTTTCGTGTTATTTAGCGTATAAATAATTTTATTTAAGATAAAAATCGTACGAATTTCAGGTTTATAAGCGCGTATATGTAACTATAAAAATTATACGATATTAAAGAAATTTGCTCTATTCACGAGGCAAGGAAAAAAAAATTGTGTTTATCTGTAATTGTTTGACTTCAGGTGCACCCCTGTAAGCAGGACCTAGTTGTAATGACCCTTTTTAAGCCGCCTTTCTATTGTCCTGTCCGGTCAATGCGGAGGATGAAAATCGTCTTTGAATGCAATCGTGTCGACAATAACGTGCACATTCTCCAAACAAATGTACAAAATGAACACGAATTGCAACGTTTTTACTAATTTACGAGTGCGAGAAGCAATTTATACACTCGTAAAACAGAAGAGCAACGTGCTAATGTTCATTTAAAGAACCGCGCCCTACTTAAGAATTACTTAAGAGAGATTCGAGCTATGTTAATCGTTTCGACGTTCTACGCATTGCATTAATTATTTAATATAAAATATAATATATATTACATCTTAACTTTGTTCTAAACAAATTCTAGAATATAAAACTTCAGGCAACGAACAAATATTTACTATAATAAAAAATGAAAACCCAACAATCCCTCAGGGGAAATCACTAGCAAGATGAAAAACTCAACGTTTATTTTCGATAAAAGTCTATATTTTTATATATGAAATGTTATATTAGACGAATTTAGTTCTCGGAGACGGACGAAAATTCCTTCGTGGCACTTGTAAGGACCACAAAAGTAAACCGAATTCATCCAATATTTCCTATTGGTTTTTGTTTTTTAATATTAAGCCATGCGATATAAGAATAAAGCTGATTTATTCAAAGATCTGCATCGCTTTGCCAAGCATTCAGTTTCTAAATGGAAAATCGATATTTTAGGAGATGCTTTGTGCCTTCGGGGGCTTCAAAAATTGATGGAAACATTTTTTTTTTCCATTCGAGATATCTTCGATTGACAAATATAGAATATGAAAAATACAATATATTCTTTCTTATATTTATGTTTGCACCATTTTTAATGGTTCTTGGAATAATGAGATAATTATATTGTTTACTCATTTTATGTAAGAGAAATATTTTAAAAAATTTATTCAACTAAGCGATATTTAAGAAATTTATTTAAGTAAGTATGCTACCAGGATATAGGAGAGCAGACATACAAGTCTAGACTAAGAGAAAAAATTCTGCAAACATCCAAAGAAGCTCAGTCGTGTGTAACACGTGTTCAGCACGTCTCTTTTTTAGATAAATTATTTATACATCTTCTTGTCAAGCTGTTTATAAGCCGCTTATAGGCTACGACCCAATATACAATTCGAAGAAAGAAGATTACATAATTCTCTAAACCGATTATGATTCGCAGATGAAAATATTTTGTTCGTTTGAAGGTCCGTAATGTTTAAAAAAACGCTGTGAAAATAATAGCAAATGTGCAAAAGTCGGAAAGTTTAAAGCTCCCATAATGAAAAGGGAAGAAATATTCAATATGGAAGGTGAAACAAAGTCGATAAAGTACAATAAAGGCAATACCCTGTACACAATGGCTTACACTATAAATCTAAGCGAGGAGGTGCAAAATGTACAGATGTGGTGACCAGATGGCAAAGCCATAGATCCAGTTACTCGGACAGACGGACGAAGCTTGGCTGGAAAATTACATTCAATCAGACGGATGCTGGGAATGCATCCATCTGGAGAAGCAGACAGCGTGGAGTAGAAAGCCGAATTAATGAGCTAAACAAGTGCTTTACAGTGTAAAAAAAAATATATATATAAGCTGAGAAAATCTATACTAAATTGCACGATTATAATTTTAAATTTATACGTATAGACTACATTATATAACTTAGCCATAATTTAGCTGCTAGTGCAAAACAGAAGCGTGTGAGGAATTGGTAACTTAGATAAGAATGCAGCAGGTCTGCACATCGTCACCAGTACACAGATATGATAGGTGATGATTCCCACGCTCTAGCACAGGATGGAGCCAACAGGACTTTGACAACACAAAAATCTCGTCGTCTAAGCGCACTATCCACTTTATAAAGACGAGTTTTTATTACGAGTAGATCTTAATATAAAGTTTAAACATAAATATTTTGAAATATCTGACGTTCGATTTCTTTTTTGGGGGATAAGATGTACCGCTTAAGCCATGGTAAAACCATATCATGCACGGTTGCATGCACTTCTCGATTATTACCAGGCTAACGACAGGCAATCCATCAATTTGTAGGAGGGAAGAGGAAATCCGTTACGACCCTACACCGAATTTTCCTTTTATGTCGAAGCTGCTTACGAAAAGTTCTAATCTGGGATAAGTGCAGTGCATCTAACATCGGTTCTTCTATATGATAAAATGATGTAAATGGAATTTGGTGCGCCCATTCCTATTCCCAATTCTTAAATTTTGCCCAAAAAAGTATGTGGAAATA